CGGAAAATTCTTAAAATTTTTGACTAAACTAACCTAACTAATTCCTAATCTATAAATTAACTTCAATAACATTAATATAATCTTAATGAAAGCTAACCTGGGATTTCGAATTTGACTGCTGTCACAACTTGAAACAAAATGCAAACCATAAAGACGTTGAGTGTACATATTTTGAAATAGGGACCATATCCAGATTCTAAGAAACCACATGGACCGATGATGTAATTTACTCTATTAATAATATATTTATTTAATTTAGTTGAAAATTAAAAAACTACCCCCTAAGTAAATAGACCTATTTAACAAAAGTTAGTCTGAGGACCAAAAGTGAAACAAAATGGCAACCGTATTGACCGAAATTATAATTAGTTCAAAAGAGAGACAATAGTTGCTAGTGGGTGACAACCACAAGGATCAAAAATGTTGTTTTACCCTCTAATTAATTGGAATTTGTTTTGTGTTGGTTTTTAAATTGTTAGTTTTGCTTACGTTGGTTTTAACGCATTTTAAAAGTGATTAATCAATTTGTTCATTATTAGAAAATTGGATTGAATTAACACATTAGATTAATCCAATCCAATCTGATCATCCATTGGATGTTGGATGAACTCGATTTGATTCAATCTAGTTAATATTGGTTGGATCTGGTCTGATTCAATGAATATCCAATAGATGGAACATAATCGATCCAATCATTCACTGGATTGGATTGAACCAGTTGACAAAATTCAACATCCAAATGGATGATTAGATCTGTTCGCTTCCCCTAGCATCCAATGGGTGTCAACCAATGAACAAGTCTGATTATCAGTGTTTCCAATTTTGTTACAGATTAGGTTTCTCAATCTAATTATGCTAAAATAAATTCTATTATATAGAGGGAATTTTGTCGTTTTACCAATTAATTAAAAAGATTTAGTCTCGTATTGGAAACCCAAACAATATAATTAGAGGTATTATCGTTATGGTTCTATTTTCGTTATATTTGTACTCCAACGAGTTTTATAAGTTATTCCGAAAGAAGAAAAAAAAAATAATTTGAATTTAAATTTTTTTTCTAAAATTTAATATGAGAAAAGAAAATTGATTTTATAATTATTTTTCACAAATAATATATTATTATTTTATATAGTTTTTATTAAAATACATTAAAATAATATAATTATAAATATTTTAACAATATAATTAATATTAAATTCTCTAAAATATAAAATCAATAGGAGTGGATACAATTTATTTTAAATGGAGAAAAATTGTATGAAATAGCAATCTGTTTTTATAAATTTTTTTATTATAGTATTTTACTTTTAATTTTTTTTATTACATCAATGTACTTTTAAAAAACTTGTTATTAGAGCAACGTACTTTAAAATTTTACCCGTTATAGCATTGGGTAACCTCTTAAATTAAATTTGTCTATTATACCAAGTTTTTTTGCCATCTCATTGTCCACATAGGCTGTCCACATGAACGATAGTGCCGATGTAACATTTTTTATTATAGCATTGTATTTTCAAAATTACTTATTATAACATCATCAATTTCTATTGCAACATTGTATTTTTAATTTTAATATTTTCATCATTTAAACATTGTAAATTTAATCAAATATATTTAATAAAAAATATAATATTAAATTGTATCGGTGATGCTTGTATGTGTTAGCTATTTTGATTTGTTTGCAGAGTTTTAAGAGATGGTGCTTTTTATTTAAAAAAATATAATATTTAATTTAACAAAAAACTTACATAATGGTAAAAAGATTAAATTTCATGTACTATTTGATATATTATTGCAGATATGTTAATGCTAAAAAAGAGTTATCGATTTGGGTATGTTTTACCTTTTATAATATGCTAAAAAACAAAATAAAAAAAACGATACTATAATCTCAAAAATATTTATTATAATTTTTTGTAAACATATTTGATTAAATTTTTAACGTTTAAATAATAAAAATATTAAAATTAAAAGTGCAATGTTGTAATAGAAATTAGTGGTGTTATAATGAAGTAAATTTGAAAGTACAATGTTATAATATGAAATGTCATGTCAGCATTATCGTACATATGGACAGCCTACGTGAACGATGAGGTGGCAAATAATCATGATATTAATGAGTAAATTTAATTTAAAAAGTTATCCAATATTATAACGAGTAAATTTTTAAAAGTATGATGTTCTAATAAAAAATATTTTGAAAATCTATTATTATAATAAAAAGAAACTGAAAATAAAATATTATAATAAAACAAATTATAAAACTAAGTTGTTATTTCGTGGATTTTTTTAATATTATAAGTTTTGTTCTATGTTTGTAAGAAATTACAAAGTATTTACTGCGACGACCTGCGGAGCGACGCCGGCTTCCACAAATAACCCAATTGATGAGCGAAAAATTCAGTGAACTATTTGAAAATTCTAAATTTGTGTCTTTCTTTTTCAAATCTAACGTCCCTCTCTTCGACTTTAGAAGAAGAAAAAAAAGACCACCATCAAGAACAAGCCATGTTGCCTTGACTCCACCATTGAAGAAGAAATGGGAGTTAAAAATCTGTGGGACATTTTAGAATCTTGCAAGAAAACACTTCCTCTTCAACATCTCCAGTAAGTTATCTTACAAATTTCAATTTTATGCCTCAAGAGCTGTAATTTGAAATCAATAATTTTGTGGGTGTAGGAACAAGAGGGTGTGCATAGATCTATCATGTTGGATGGTTCAACTTCACAATGTTAACAAATCACACTGTTCTATGAAAGATAAGCTTTACCTCAAGGGTTTATTTCACCGAATTAGGGCTCTCATTGCCTTGAATTGTAGCCTCATCTTTGTTACAGGTATGATGCCCTAAATCCTAATATATAAAAAAACTGGTTTTGATGGTGGTTTTTAGACAGACACGTATTTGTTTTTATTTAGTTATTTCAAATGGGTTTTGATAGTTTATTAGAAAGAGTAAGAAGCCAGCGGAACAAGTGGGTTTGATAGTTTTTTGTGCCAATGTTACGTAAAAGGTGTTTACAGGGTATGATTTAACATTTTTCTGTGGTTAGAGTGGTGCATCATGGAGGAGGATTTTGACATGCTAAGCCCGGATTCGACCAGAAGTTTGGAAATATGATTTAGGGGCCGTTTACCAACACAAACCGGGTAAGCACTTACCGTATAGGCAAGATTCTCGGTTAGCAAAATGGCATGGTAAGAATGTTGGTAAAGATCATCATCTCTTACCGGGTAACCGTCTTTTACCTGGTAAGCGGCAATAAGTATTTAGTTAACCCGTAATAGGCGATAATAGTTTAGTAAACTGCCTCTTAGATCCCCTTGGTGGTGCCTTACCTTTAGCGTTCTACCAGAATGTTAGTTGATTCAGAAATTTATTGAGTCAACTTGTTGCTTTGGGATTGGCATGTTATACATGGTGTACTAGTGTTTCCCCTCAAGGTGAAGTAGTTTGCCCTCATGCATCTCATCTCACGGGGATGATGGTTTTGAGCTTCAATCGGGTTTCTATTTAAACCTAATGAGAATGAAAATGAGGACATGGACGATCAATTTGTGATTTTGAATTGTGATGCCCATATAAGCTCTTGGTATTGGACTACGGATAAGTTCCCATCATAGTTTGCATACTAAGGTCTAGTGTTACACATGTTGTAGTTTCTTTTTCATTTTTACTGTTGGCTACATTCTATGTCTTAAAGACATAAATACCAAATACAAATTTATGGCCTATATGTTGCTAATTCAATTAGATATTATTAAATTTTGCTAACAATTTTGTAAAAGGAGGCCCCTTTTTAGAATTATGGAAATGACCTTTAAGTTTAAGCTACAAAACATAAAAAACAATGTTTTCTTAAGAAGTAATGGAATTGGAAAAGCTTCATTGATTTCTTGAATAATAGAAGATACATATCTATAGGACTAAGCAAAATATCAAATCTTTTATGATTTGATTTCTCGTCTGCTAATACTCGCAGTCAAGCTTTGATTTTAGATGTTTATGAGTCCAAGCTTGCATAAAAGGAAATAGAACACTCATTCAGATAATCCCTTTGTATGGATATATGGGAGCTATTGGTAACTGGGTACATATGTTAGAGTATGTCTAAAAGTGGATCATGTGATGACTGTAATTTGAACATTAAGTCATGAAACCTATTAATAAAAAGGCATTGTCCAATTTATTATCTCTGTCTTCTGTTCCATGTTACATTTAAATGTGATAATAACCCTAGAATAATTGTATTCTTGAATGTCGCTAATCAAGTATCACTTGGGACCTGGGTTGGGATAATACGATAACAATCAGCATACATAGGGATTCACCTTAGATATAGAATCCACATATGGGTGCAGGTTAGTGTCTCCAAATTATTACCGCTCATCGTTTTATATTATAAATATCATATTTATAATTAGTACCAATGTGAAGAGAACCCAATGAGTCAGATGCTTAGAACATATTTGAATATGGAATTTTGAATAATTAATGTAGTTAATTATTATATTTGATTAGTTACTAATTTAGATAGATTAAAAATATAATCTCATATCATTTTATGTAAGACATAAAGTGGGAATTGACAAGGTATGGGCATGTAAGAGAGTGATGGGTGAAGACTTGTCTTACAAATTTGCAATCAAGTATGGTAGTGATCTAAGGTCGTCACTTTTTGTTACATAATTATCATCTTTTCAAGAAAAGTCATCTCATTTCCACTCTCTTTAACCCATTAAAATCCCTCGTCCTTCTAAGCTTTGGAGCTATGACTAGCATCATGAAAAAATTGTAATCAAGGATAGGCTAGAAGAGGACATCATTTCAAGGAAGAAGAAGAGACCAGATGTAGAGCATGAAGCAAGTTCACCACTTGTTCAATCCATTGATTTGAACTTTAACTATATCACTTATGATGATCTATCACCAAAATTTAGAGATTTCCTTTCTACTCTTGACTTTAAACAAATTCCAAAAAACATTCAGAAAACCTTACAAAATCCGAAGTGGAATACGGCCTTTCACAATGAGATAGAAGCACTTGAGAAAAAATTGGAAAATGGGTACTTACAAATCTCCCACCTGGAAAGAGAAATGTTGGCTGCAAGTGGATATTTAGAGTCAAGTATAGGGTGAATGGTAGTATAGAAAGGTACAAGGTCCGATTAGTTGCTTGAGGGTTAACTCTGTCATATGGAATTGACTATCATGAAACTTTTGGCAACAATTATAAAAGTCAACACAATGCAACAATTGTGAAACTCAAATACTCAACACAATCAAACTAATTACCTCATTGGCTGAGAATCAAGACCAACGTCTACAACAACTGGATATAAAAAAATGCATTCTTGAATGAGGAATTAGAAAAAATATAGTTGTATTCCTGCTAGGTTAATCAAGCAAACAATTAGGTATGTAAACTCAAAATTATTCTATGGACAAAGCAAACCATTAGGGTATGGATTGACAAAGTCTAAAAGTCCATTGTAAATCTTAGGTATACCTGATGTCAAGGCAGATCATACTATGTTTGTTTGACGACTGCAGTGAGGAAAAATTGCCAATATGATTGTAGAGGACATCATTTTAACTGGGAATGATGAGGATGGCCCAAATAATCTATAAGAGTATCTATCACTGGAATTTGAAGTAAAGATCTTGGGAATCTTATCATTTCCCAAAGGAAATACATACTTGATCTACTAAAAGAAACAGGATTGCTCGGATGCAAACCTACTAATACTTCCATGGAACCTCACAAAAAGTTGCACTTGAGAACCAAAAGTACACCAATCCAGACTGGGGAGACATCAACTTAGTTGGGCGTCTCAGTTATCTTGCTCACACAAGGCATGATATTGGCTATGTGGTTAGTATTAGCCAATTTATGAACAACCCAACAAAAGTCACCTGGTCTCAGTATAGAGGATTATATGATTAAGAAGATGACATCCGGCAATGGACATTAGATTGTTCTTAGAAAATAGGAAAACAGATAGTTGAGATCTACTCCGGTACAAAATTGAATGGAGGTGTAAATGATGATATATCAGCTTCTCGGTACTGCCCTTTTGTGTGGGGAAACTTGGTCACTTGGATGTGCAAGAAACAGTTGATGGAGTCAAGAAGTAGTTCTGAAGCGGAATATATGGCATTAACAAAAAGAATTTGCAAAGGAATATAGACCAAATGAGCTCGGTTTGCACATTACCTCTCAGATCCAGATGATGTGTGAAGTAATGCGACTATTAGCAATTTAGCATTGCTACAAATCTGGTGCATCACTGTAGAACCAAACATGTTAAGATCGATCGACATTTCATCATTGATAAGGTGACAAGTGAAGTGGTGAAAATGGACTATCATCACTAAACAACAAGTGATAGAAATCCTCAACCAAGCATTTCCAAGACCTAACTTTGGAGACCTCATATCCAAAGCTTGGATTATATGATATATTCTCTCCAGTTTAAGGGGGAGTGTTGCATTCAGTAGAAAGTTAGGAACGTATTTTATGTTTATCTTTTTGTTTTATCCTCTCTTTTAGGATTAAATTGGATTATGTTAGCTATATAAATCCAATATTGTATATGATTAATTATATGAGAAAAAGAAATACGCTCCTATCTTTCAGCGACTATGTCTTATGATACATTTAACCCTTATTGTATTCTTTTTTTTTCTTAACATGCTTCGAGTTTTACACTTTGTAGTATGTGGGAACGTGAGAGCATATGATGCTTTACTTTACTAGTAGTGAGACTGCCACTCATGGGGGTGTTCTAGTTTCTACCGTATGTTTGTTTATTTATGTCTATAATTGGGCTGCCTTCTTTTACATGCAGTAAGTTACTAGTAACTTTTTGTGTACTACATGTGTTGTTGAGTGACAACTAGAGGTGGTGATGATGTTTGAACCTTTTTTACATCAATTCAAAATAATACACTCTTCGAACCCTTGGTACGAGTTAATTGAGTAATGGAACTTCTTGCAGTCTTTGTTATTAAATTTGCTGTTAACTTATAACTTTCGGTACTTAGTTTTCCCACGTCTCAATTCTAAATCATCGGGCAACTATGAAACATTGCATCGTAACTATCCTAAGATAGCAAAGTTCCATGTCGTCGTATCAGTCATAAACTTTGGGTTTGTGGAAAGAATCCCCTGCGACGGGATAAAATGTTGAAAGAAAAAGAAATTATGTTTTAGAGTCAATTTTCATTATGAAGATGTGTCACGTTAGGGTGTTACTTACTATAATCTTTTTGTGTAATGCATTTTGTTTTTTTTTTTTATCATTTGTTTATTTCAATGGGTTATGGTACTCCGCAGATGGATCAATTCCAGGCATCAAAGTATCCACATATAGACGGCGGTTGCACTTGAACAACGAGGTAGGAATTTCTCTTATGTTATTATAATGCTGTTTTCTTCCATGCATTTTATGTATCGCGATAATGACTTCATCTTATATTTGTTTTGTATGATAGGGCACTCGAGAAGAATCTTCTTTAAACAAAAATGCTTCGCTTCAGAGGAATATGGGCTCTGAGTTCTCATGTATGATAAAAGAGGCCAAGATTCTTGGCTCGGCACTGGGGGTTCCATGTTTAGACGGGTAAGTTTTCGTATTTAATTATGCACATAGTGGTGTGCATTGATTCAGAATCAAAACTAACTGGACCAAACAGAAACTAAATAATTTACAGAACTAAATGAAAGAACTTGACCAAAAGATGTCAGTTCAATTTCAGATTTCATGGGTTCAGTTCAAGATCAAACCATGAATCAGAAGTTTTAATTTTTAATCATTTTTGATTTTCAGTTCTTGACATCTCTTCAGGGTTTAGGTTGGATCTTGTTTGAATGAGATGTAATACTGGTTACTGTTTCTTAGATGAACACCATCAAGAAAGAAAACGTCTGTAAAATTTATGTTCTATAAACGACATATTTCTCAACATAAAAAACCTTCTTTTGAAGTTCAATCATGGCAAGATACATCAAATTTTGCCAAATGGGGTGCAATCCACACCTTGTTTTAATTAACCAAAATTCATAATCCTATTACGACATGGATGATGGGGTCTTCATAATCCAAAAATTGTTTTTGTACCTTTCTCACATTCTAAATTAGTTGGGAGTCTTCCCGGAAACAACTGCCCTACTCTTTAGGGTGGAGTGGGAATTTTGGGCTCGTTTGGTTTGGTTTGGTTTGGTTTGGTTTTTATTACGACATGGATGATATACATGCACCTATTTAACCTTTTGAACTTCTTCCTACTCAGAATCGAGGAAGGTGAAGCTCAATGTGCATTGTTGGACTCGGAGTCATTATGCGTAAGTAAAGACTATCCATAATCATTTAAGACGGTTTACGTACCTGAATCATAAATGTCACCATTTTTGTCATTACATTTCATCGAAGCTTTCTAATACGCCTCCCACAAATTTGTGGTTTTTCAGGATGGGTGTTTCTCTTCAGACTCAGATATCTTTCTTTTTGGAGCAAGAACAGTTTACAGAGACATTTGCCTTGGTTAGCATATGTGACTTTCTTTTTTCACTTATATTGGAATAGAATTTAAGTTGAGCGTGTTCTTTACCATAGGGCTAAATGTATTCTATTCTTGTAGGGGAAGGTGGTTATGTTGTTTGTTATGAAATGGATGACATCAAGAAAAAACTTGGATTCGGAAGAAACTCGTTGGTGAGTTTTGTTACATATTGCTTTCTTATACTAACTAAAGAAATCATTTTTCTCGTTTTCAGTTTTATCTTAAACACTTGTATGTGTAGAGTGCATTTTTGGTAGATTGACGATGTAAAGTTTTGTTGCACGAGTAGAAACCCTGTTTTCCTAATCTTATACTCCCCTTAGTACAAAAAAATGCAATGTTTGATATGACAAATGTAGGGAATGCCTCTTAATTGGTAATGAAATTTATGGTCTGATATTGGAGTTAGTAGTTTCAAGTAATAATTGCTGATACTACCTCGTTCCCCAAAAAATGTACACAATTATAAAGGCGCACAATTTTAGAAATGTATAATTATTACACTTTTTTAATTAACTAAATGACAATTTTGCCCTTAGTATCTCATAATTAAGGGTAGATATGGAAAGTAGGCACTTATTTTCAAAGTGGACACTTATTTTGGAACAAACTAAAATAGAAATGTGAACACTTATTTGGGGACGGTGGGAGTCTCCACTATGATTGCGGATTCCGTTTTGATATTGAATAGATTAGAGCTTACATAAGTTACTTTGGTCTTCAGATTGCTTTGGCCATCCTTCTTGGTTGTGATTACTTGTCGGGTGTCCATGGGCTCGGTCCAGTAAGTTTGAAACTTCCATAATTCTTTGTTATTTATTTTCACTTAGGGGCCGTTTACCTAAACACTTACCCGGTAAGCACTTACCTGTAAATTCAACACAATTGTTTACTTACCGGGTAAAATTTTATTCACTAAAACGCATCGTATGCAACAATTTATCCCGGTAAGTGCTAACCATGGTAGGAGTCCTCGTCCTCACTTACCGGGTAAGACTCTCGATTCTTGTCTTCGCTCTTACCGGGTAAGATTTTTAGTCCTTACCATATTCATCCGGTAAAGTAAAGTGACTTGGTAAGCGCTTACTCGGGTAAGCGTTTGGTAAACGGCACCTTAATCTTCTTTGATCAATACTAATATTTATATGGACTCATATGCAGGATTCGGCATGCCAGATCGTTAAATCTTTGGGGGAAGCTGCTGTTCTTCAAAGAATCGCATCAGAAGAGTTGTCACTTCTAAAGAAGGCAATTTGTTCCAAGAAACGGAATCAAGTACTTGGGTGCAACAATAAAGAGAACATCCCACCTCATGAATCAAACGGTAATGGTAAACTAGCTTTCTGTATGATTTGAAGCTCTTAGGATAATATCAATGGGGAATGATTGGTATGTAACGACCGCATTTTATATTAAAAAGTAATTATTAAATGTTTTCTTGGATTGGTTGAAGTTCTATACTTCAACTAAATTTCAAGATGATTAATACTCCTTTAGTCATTACCATATTGCTTAAGTTAGTTGCAGAGCCATAAGTTAGACTAGGGTGCGTAGTTATCTTACCTTGGTTATGTTTTTCTCGTACTTGCTTCTATGTGTATCTTATTGCTTACTCTTAAGCAGCTTTGCAAAATTTATCATATCTCTCTCTCTTTTACACACTTTTCATCAACAGAATGTAACAATTTTGACCCCTCAAAACTCTTATTTGATAAATAAGAATTAAACCTAGGAGTCTTCACGGAAGTTAGTCGCTCTACCCTTTGGGATAGAGGTCAGGTTCGTGTACTTAATAGCCCCAACCCGACACCACCTCCGGGTGTGATATACCGGGGTTGTTTGGTTTGGTTTGGTTTGGTTTGGTTTATTGATGAAATGACTAAAATATTCTTGGGTAATGATAAAGTAAGGGAATCTTGTGGACTAGAACTTGTAGCATCATTAATTTGTAGCAGACAAAGCGGTAATAGCTTGAAATTCTCCCAAATTGGAAATCTTAATAGTTTACCAAGGAAACTATCAAGAGGTTTTTAGTTCATCCAATATGACGAGTGGTTTAATTTCTGACATCTATTGTTTTGTAGGACATAAAAGTAATTTACCAAGGAATTGTGAGTTTCTAGAAGTGATGGATGCATACCTCAAACCAAAATGCCATTCAGCTGATTCTCAAATGGTACACAGGTATATTTGCTTTAAATAACCTTCTATGAAAGTCACTTTTACTAACCAACCTTCTAATGGTTTTTCAAGATTTTGTGGGGGCCGGGTGTTTAACACCGAAGGCGGTTCATTTGAAGGTTATTGAGTTAATTTTTTAAGGTGGTCATGCGTCTAATGAAATCTTAATCATGATCGTTTAACTAAATGACTCATGTAAACATGTATGATGAGTCACGTGCCCATTGGCACACCCCTCTGCACAACCCGCAAGTGTCGGATTCAAAATTTCAAACTCAAGATATGTTAGTCATCCTGAATATGTTCAACCACTCGAGTAAACGAAACTGGTTCTTGTAATTCATAAACAACTTTTAGCCAACAATTAAGGAAAAAAAGATTTGTTACCGGTGGAGTCCCACATCAGCTAGACTTGGACCATTTATCATCCATATATGGTGGAAGCTCCTCCTCTCCTCAAGAGCTCCTTTGGAGAGAGTAATGTAACGGGGTTCCACATATTTTCTAATAGTTACCATTTACTTTCATTGCAGGGTTCTTGGTATGCATCCATTTCATCGTCCCATGCTTCAGCAGATATGTGCTCGATTTTTTGAGTGGCCTCCAGAAAGAACAGGTACATTGTGTCTTTTTGACGAACTGGGTATGCTAAACGTCAAAAAGAAAGAAAATTAAAATTGATTCTGATTCATTCCTACATCTAATGATGATCTTCTGGTTCAGATGAGTATATACTTCCAAAGATTGCCGAAAGAGACTTGAGACGATTTGCAAATCTGCGTTTCACTTCTTCTCACTTAGGAGTTCGGCTTCCATTAGACAAGGTGATATAATTTGCATTTTGTGATGTCTAAAAACAATTGTTTGAACTTTATGGATTACACCAACTCATCAAATTTAGTTTTCTTGATACGCTCATTGAGTGACTGACCTCTAGAACCAGTATACTTGCGAAAATGCCCAAAGTTTCCACTATTATTTGTTAGGATGAGCAATTATGGAAACATTGCAAAAAATGTAACTGCAGAAAGGAGAAAACCATCGTACTTGGCACATAGTTTCCCTCTGTTTTTTACAAAGACAGTTGTTTGTTTGCAACGAAAAGGCAAGTACGATGGTCTGAAAAACCATCACTACAACAAAATTGGGTTTATAGGACACAAAAAATGTCCAAGTGTTCTTAATATTTGTTTTATAGGACTTCAGTTTATAGGACCAAATACTTGTGTTCTCTATGTAAAAGTGTTACAATAAGTTTATAGATCGTTTTTGGACATCTTAACAAGTTCTTTAGGACATTTGAAATAAACCATGCTATTAACTTTTTTATAAAGATGCATTCATAGGACATATTTCAAAAGTTCAATACGATAGTTTATTTTAAAAGTTTCTAAAAAACTTGTTAAATCCCCAAAAACGTCATAAACTTAATGCAACGCTTTTACGTAGGACGTGCAATTGTTTGTCCTGTAAACGTAAGTCTTATAGAACAAGCTATTAGGGCACTTAGATATTTTTGGTATCCTATAAACACGATGTTGTAAAAGTGAGCAACTCTATTCCTTTCTCATTATCACTTCAAATAATTTGTGGTCGTCTTGAAACATATGGTTTCTACTGCAAATTTAACGGAATTAGTCTTAAACAAGTCTTTTCAATGGTTATGGACTTATGAACCAATCACCGTTGCAGATACCAGTGAAGTGCCCGGTTTCTGGAATTGTTAAGCGCCGGAAAGCTCAGGGAAAGGAGTGCTTCGAGGTTTTGTGGGAAGAAGTTGATGGACTTACTAGCTCTATCGTACCAGGTGAACTTGTTGAAAGGTAATAACCATTAATAGTCATTTTTTTCATTTTTCTTGTGTTTTATTTGTGTAAATTTAGGGGTTGTGTACCAACACTTATCGGGTAAGCATTTACCGAGTAAGAGAGTCACTACCCTCAATTAAGTAAGATTGTTGGTACACACCATCATGTCTGACCAGGTCGGTAAGCATTGACCTGTTAAGATGGTAAGGTTATTGGTCAACAAAATGGTACTGTAAGATTGTTGATAAACACCGTCGGCTTTGACTAGAAAAGCATCTCTTGCACAATAAGAGGCAGTAAATGTTTGGTTACTCAATAACAGTAACAAGCATCAAGTGTTTAGTAAACAATCCCTTGTCATTTTCTGATACAGTGCTTGCCCAGAAAAGATAGTGGAGTTCGAAGAGAAAATAGCAGAAAAGAAGAAGCCAAAACCACGTAAACCAAGACCAAAGCCATCGGAAAGGAACAAATCTCTTAGCGAAATTGATGTCAAACTCCAAGAACTTGTGCTTGAAATTGAAGGTGCAAGCTCTTCTGCTCACACTTTTCGTTTACTCGACGAACCAATGGTCAACACGAGGTTAAATGGTGCAGAGAGTTTGTGTGCGATTGAGACAGAAATCGTGAATCTGTCTACGCCTTTGGTTGTTCGGAAATCAAAAGGGAAAGGTGAAACGGAGATCATTGATCTCTCAAGCCCATTTCCGGTTAATGTGATCGAGTTAAGTGAGTCGGAAACAGATGTGTCGCCTGAACATATGAAAAAGGTTCGAGAACTTAGATCATTTGTAGCTAGCATCAGGGATGAATTCTCTTAGATTCACAAATGAATACCCGAACTTATGGTTAACTATTTGGAATGTATTTATGGTAGAGTGTACCATAGTCGTAGGTAGATCATGAAAGACGAAGCAAATGAAGTTGTTCATTTTGGTTTGTGATCAGACCAAAATCCATGGACCCGAAATCACTGGAGCATAGGTTTCAACTTTCAAGCCTAACCGCTTTCAGAAGTGTATCTATTAGATGCAGCAGAATATATAATTCAACTGCAAACTGAAGCGTCTTTAATTTATTTTTTGCTGAAAATGGATCAATTATGAGATGAGATTCTCTTGTTTATTTGGTTGATTATCTTTTTATATTAGGGGGTGTTTGGGTTGCTTATAAAACAACTTATTGACTTATTCCAGTGTGGTATCGTCGTACCGGTAATAAGCATTTTTTAGTGTTTGGGTAAACAACTTATACCGGTGCCAAATTGGTAATAAGGAGTTTTTGAATAAGTTAAACATAATAAGTTGATAAGTGCTTTTGTAGAAAAGCACAGGTTGTTTCAAATAAGCAATCCCAAACACCCTTTTATAATAAGTTGATAAGTGTTTTTGTAGAAAAGCATAAGTTATTTCAAATAAGCAATCTCAAACACCCCTTAGAAAGAGTAGTGGAGGTTTCGAGTCTCTATTCTTAATATTTAAAGAAATGGGAAAACATTGATATTCTAGGAATTGAAAATTGTTTTATAAGTTGTATGGTTTGCGGGTATTGGTGGGATTTGAAATTAGATTTCATCCCGATTTTGTGTTCGGTTGAGGAAAATCTGAAAATGAAATACCACCCACGAACATCGTATTTTGAAATCTCTCAAGGGTAGTTGGTATTTTACGGAATTTTATAGTATTTCTTTGTGATACTGCTTTAAAATATGTTATAAATGTTTATTTTATGATAGTCACTTAATAAAAAGTAATTTAATTATGTTTATAATTATATATAATTCACTATCCATAAGAATATAATCAACTCTATTCCAAAATCTACAAACAAAACATACCAAAGAATCCAAATCCGAAACCTTCAAAAGCATTCCGTCAAACCAAACGTTCTATAATATAGTACTCTAGATAATCCGGTCAACCATCGGCGTATCAGCTTCCAGAGCTGATGCTTTATCCAATCCAGTTTTTGTCCCTTGATTTTGTAATTAGATCTATTTGTCTCAGATTAGTTTGAAAACCTGTGCAATCAATTAGGTTTAGAGAACTTTGAAGCCATAAATCAAGTAAAAATCTGATCCAGTTTGACTTGATGTCATTTTATATGTACAAATTACCCTTAGCAAGTTTTGTTTATTTAAAAACTTATGTCAAAGGTGCATAATTTCGGTTAACAAATTTATGAGTATTCTTTTTCTCACTCATTTTGTTTAATATCTAGCGTGACTCATTTGTCATTCTCTTATGACATAGACAAGCAAAATCCGATATAAAACTCACTTGTTTTGCTCTTATGGTAAAATGTTATGAAGCCCGTTAAGACTTATTTGTCTTTTTCTTATAGCAACATCTATAAAAATGATGCAACTGTCATTGTTCCAGCTACTAAACAAGTCGACCATGGCATCATTTACACGTAGTATGAACACAAATGGATATTGTTTGCATAATAAAATAATGGCTCGTTGTTTGACGCAATGTTTTTTAGGGATTTGAATTTCGTGGAATGATTTGTAATCTTTGGTTTCTAAGGTTTTTTTTGAACGGGGTGGAGATTTTATAAAAAAAAAACTAGCAATAAGTTAGAAAAAACAAATTACATGTAAGAAATAGTAAGGATGGAGGGTTTTATAACCAACTCACTCACTTCATGTTAAACTTCCTACTCCTATTTGTAACCCAGAAGATCAAATGGGTCACAATACTATCCCACAACACCGCTTTCTTGGACTTAGGGGTCGTTTACTAAACGTTTATCCGGTAAGTGCTTACTGGATAATTTTCCTTACCGGATGAACATGACAATGGTCAAAAATCTTACCTGGTAAGAGCAATGATAAAGATGAAGAGTCTTACTCGGTAAGTGATGGTGACGACTCTTACCCGGATAAGCGCTTACCAGGTAAATTATTGCATACAATACCATTTTGATGTACTACAATCTTATCCGGTAAAATAAATTACAGTGTTGACTCCTAATGGTAAGCGCTTACCAGGTAAGCATTTAGGTAAACGGCCCCTTAGGAAGCCTAAAAAGAGCCCCATTCCGAAAAGACTAAATAACATGTAAAGTCTTTAGAACTACAGCCTCTAAGCAAGTCAATTCCACTTTCTTCAAAAGCAAAGATAATAACCACCCAATCCCATCCGAATTGGAATTAAACTCCGGAATATTCAAATCCCAGCATCAACCAATTTGCTTCCAAATATCCCAGGCCATTTGACAAGAAAATAAACAAGTGACTCATCGATTCAATCTCCAAATCGCAAACCGCACATAAGAGGGAATGCACATTAATTCCTCTTTTGTCAAGATTGTCTCAAGTTGGAATTTTGTTCAAGCCCAACGCCAAGCAAAAACATTAAACTTGATAGGGACAAGTTGATCAGATCTAGTAGAAGAATGATCTATCACCAAAAATTTTGAGTCTATGTAATACAAGCGGAAGCCCTCGAGAACTCACCCGGACCATCAAGGGTGTGTTTGGTGCGCAGACAGGACAGGACAGGACGGGACATGACAGGACAGTAACAGCTGTTCAGCGTTTGGTAAGACAGGACAGGACAGGATAGAACTGGTTAAAATGACCAATTTACCCCCAGTGAACTGTTTAGTGTTTTTTCACTACAAAATGCATTCTGGTAACACTGGTCCTACTACCACTACAGCCCTAATAATTCATCATCAACAACATTCAGCAATCATAATCAATGTAAACTCTCTAAATAAATCATAATACTTCATTAAAATCCCTAATAAGTACTTCAATTAATCAAGTTGTTGGCGAAATCGAGTACGAAACCACCATCATAATATAATTTCTTACTTGCATGAAACAAGAAGAAAGGTATTTGAAGAGTTTCTTCAAATTCGTGATGTAGTTGCTGTAAGAAGCAGCAGCGACGGCCATCGGAAAAGCAGCAGCGGCGGCCATCGGAGAAGCAGCAGCGGCGGCCATCAGAAGTCGCTGTCACCGGTCGCCGGTTGAGCGGTGGAAGCGATGGAGGAGAGGAGAGTGAAGGGGAAGAAGGAAGGTATGCGTATGAGGTTTTTGAGGGTAAAGTGGTAAAAAGTTTCTTGTTCTACTTAGTTCCATGGGTAAAGGGTGGACAACCTTGTCCCACCCTTGTTCTAGTTTGTTCTAGTTAGTCCCACATAAAACCACACCAAACATAGGACAATTGTGTTATGTCATGTCCTGTCCCACCCTGTCCAACGTACCAAACGCACCCCAAGGGACCAAACCCATCTATCTCTTTGACCAGAGATCATGATTGCATCTAGAATCCCCCATAAAGCTGACATCCGTGAATCCTCCACCCCTCGGCAATCTATGCAAAACGGATCCCAGTCCCCTAGGACCAATCCGCTACTTGTTAACTCTGGGCCTGTTCGTCCTGCGATCTTGGACCAATGCCGATTTTTCACGATCAAGCGCATATCCCCTCAAAAATTGCACTTTAAGAGAGGAATCTCCCAACCAAATATCATCCCAAAAAGAGCGTAGACTCACCATTACCCACTTTTTCTTGCAAAAAGAAAAAAAGGTGATTTGTCTATCTGTTGAACCGACTTTAAAAAAGAGATCTAATAAGAATTGGACGCCTTATTGGGTAACCACGATCCAATAAGCCCGCGAGGACCATAAATCGACTTAAGCACTTTGACCTAAAAAGCATTTTGATCCATACACAACCGCCAAATCAATTTGAATAAGAAAGCTCTATTGAAAGCAAACAAGCTTCCAATGCCAAGGCTCCCTCTTTTTTACTAGTCGAACACTTTTCTATTTCACCCAAGTCGTTTTCTTTTTATCAATTTCACCTCCAACAAAAAAACGGTTCCTCAAAGACTCCAACACTTTTTCAACCAAACTAGGAAGTTTAAAAATCGACAAATAGTAAGAAGGAAGACTACCCAATACGGATTTAAGAAGCGTAATCCGATCCTCTACCGAAAGAGTTCGAACTTTCCAATTAGAAAGTTTAGTAATAAACTTGTCGACCACCCCTTTGGCCCTTTCCAACCATCATTTTTCACCATATTACATCCAAAACCACATCCCAGGGCAGTCCTAGGTAATTGAACGGTAGATCTAAAAACCACGTCCCACCACTGGGGAGCTCCACATAGTCCACTCCAATTCCAGACAATTTACTTTTTTGAATATTTATTTTAACTCATAAATCAAATAGAAACATCAAATGATACACACAATATTTTTAGCACTAGATTGCGATCATTCACCTACAAAAACTGTACCATCCGCATAAAAAAGATGTGATAAAGGTAATTTACCTTTGCCAATTTTTGCCTCATACCAATTTTAGTTGGTATCAGTTGTTGGTACTCCGGGTTTACAAACTATGCCCGATGAGTTAACCAACATGGGTTTTGATGATGATCAAGTTATTGCTATTAGCATATACTTTGGCGATAACCCGATTCAACTACGCCTATGGAATAGCATTAACGCTACTTTGAAGCCAAAATTTGTGACGACCATCTTAAAAAAGTTAGACATGTGATGTTGGTTGGTAAACATTTGATCTTTTGTGTTTAAKTCTTTTGGTACACAATTGTAAACATTTGATCTTTTGTGTTTAGGTCTTTTGGTAAACATTTCACTTTTTGTTTGTGAATATGATGTTTAAATCTTTTGATTTATTAATGTGAGTTTTTAATTAAGATTGATTTTTGGAAATTTTTTGGTATTTTTAAATAGTATTTGTAAGCATTTATTATATTGATTATTTAGTGAAAAAACACTAAACAGCTTACTGGGGGTAAATTGGTCATTTTAACTAGTTATGTCTTGTCCTGTCATGTCTTACCAAACGCTGAACAGCTGTACTATACTGTCCTGTCCTGTCCTGTCATATCCTGTCCTGTCCTGTCCTGTCTGCGCACCAAACGCACCCTGAATGACCACATGCAAACCTTCTATAGCCAAAAAGAAATAGAGATAGAGGATCTCCCTGACAACGACCACGAAAAATCTTGAAATTTTTGTTAGAAATTGAATTCCATGCTTTTC